TACTCCTCTAGATGCTTTCGAGAAAATATCCATAGACACCGTAGGACCTCTCCCCATCACACCTAATGGGAACCGACACATACTAACAGTGCAGGACAACCTTACAAAATATTGCATAGCTGTCCCCATACCAAACGTCAGCGCAGTAACAGTAGCCGATGCCCTTGCAAGGCATGTAATCGCAAACTTCAGCGCGCCTAAGATTATCCTTACTGATCGTGGAGGATGTTTTGTTAGCAAACTACTTCGTAAGATTGCCAAAATATTTAAAATCAAGCATGTAACTACGTCGGGATACCATCCCCAAACTAACGGATCACTAGAGCGAAGTCACCACGTGCTAACAGAATATCTGAAACATTATTTACACAAATACGACGATTGGGATCAGCTGATCTCTTTTGAAATGTTCTCCTATAACACTTCCGTTCATGAGAGCACTAACTTCACACCATATGAACTAGTATTTGGGAAACTAGCGAGGCTACCGTCATCACTACCTTCAGACGAAAAACTCGAGACATACGGAACGTACCTGACTGAACTCATTACCAAATTGAACGACCTCAGACAGATAGCCGGTCAAAATCTAGTGAACGCCAAATACCAATCTAAAGAGCGATACGATAAAAAGGTAAATCCCCGCCGTTACCAAATAGGCGATATGGTGTACGTACTAAAGAAACCTCGAACAAGCAAATTCGATAGTCATTATACCGGCCCATACACGGTGGTTGACATCACCGATCATAACAATGTCATTCTAGAAACCCAGCAAGGAGATCGATTTCTAAAACATACGGATAAGGTAAAACTAGCTACCCAACCAGGCGAGTAGAGGGAAATCGGGAGAATGGGTCTCATAGTCACGATAGTCGTGATGATAGCAGCCATCGGGACCACCAACAGCCAGGACAGAAGGAACTACGTATTGACGCCCCTGGACCATAACCCTGGACTGTATTATGAAGCCGTACGAAGTATCCGCCTTGTGGGTAAAGAATGGAGAGTCACTATATACACCGACACCTCCAAACTTTTGACACACGGGATAGAAGCACTAGCAGTTCTACCAGGAGCCTTACGCAGCTGTAAGAGTCGGTTGACCGACAAGCAGTGCGAGATCCTTGTTAGCGAGCGATGTTTCCGGAACCAAGTAGACGGTGCGCAAAAATATATAGACCAAATACAAGGGTTACTAGCAGACGTAGATCAGGATTCTGACGATTCGGATAACACATTACCCTTTTTAAAACGTAGTGTACCCTTCGGGTTCGTGGGAAGCTTGAGCCACATGTTATTCGGTACCCTCACCGTGGATGACGCGGAATACTACAATCAGGAGATAGATAAAATCTATAACGACCAGCAGAAGATCACGCATATTATAGCCGAACAAACCCATCTTTTGTTCAATCAGAATTACACGACCTTCATCAAGGGCTAGACGATCTTAACGAACGAGCCCGCGAGCTCTACAAAACCGTTACTGAGGCATGGCATCAAACTGCGAACAACTCCATGGCCATAGTTCAGATAGAATACGGTCTGAGCCTTGAGAGATGGATCCGAAATCTGCAGATTCACGTAAACGATTACACCAACTGCCTAAGGACTCTAGTCTCGGCCATTTATTTCGCGAAACTAGGTATGATCCACCCTGAATTGATTAGTCCTAAAAGAATCAGCGAGATAGCAGAAAAGGTACGAAAACTCAACCCGGACAGTGAATTCCCAGTACCACGAGGAGAGATCCGAAGCGAGGAACTCGCGGCGATTTCCTCGATAAGGGTCGGACACGCTGAGAACCGCCTAATCTTTGAGCTGCGAATCCCGCTCCTGATGCGTACGCATTTCACCACCTATAAAATGCATCCTTGCTCCGTGCTGCAGAAATACGACGAACGCGACGACCAGTTTGCATACATAATTCCTAAGAATCCTTACCTAACCATTTCATCGGACCACGAACTATATATGACTACTGACGACATGTACATGACACATTGCAAGCAATCACGACACTACCAAATTTGCAGTCCCAATCAACCACTTTTTAGGACTATCTCCCAACCGACCTGCGAAAGTTCCCTCCTAACAGCTCCAACACAAGAAGCCTTATCTTCGTGCGACATACGACTAACCTCGACCTTAGACCCAGTATGGATATATCTAAACGTACTCAAAGGATGGCTCTACTCAACAGCAGTATCGGAACCTCTGAAACTAATCTGCGACGGGAATCTCACCGAAACGATACCGCTCGGTGGCGCAGGAATCTTACAAGTTCGCCCGGGTTGTAGTGCCCGCACGACCTACATTTCCTTAACGGGAATAGAAATAATTAAAGATGCCGAACAATACTTTTATACGTAGTGCCCGCACGACCTACATTTCCTTAACGGGAATAGAAATAATTAAAGATGCAGAACAATACTTTTATACACCATCCGTGTCGCTCGAAGTTAGTAATCTAATACCGGAGATACGCGAGCTCTATCGTCAAAACCACGGCGAGCCCGCGCAACACTTGAACCCAGGACAATCTGTGGGTACGAAATACAAGCAGCGCGAAACATCGCTGAACCAGCTGGTCACCGAGCTAAATGAGATGGAGACTCACCATCGCGAGCGCACGGTGCACCGACCCCTCTTGTATAGTGCAATAGGAGGAACGGCCCTGCTGACTATCGCGATTACGCTTTATCTCTTTAAAATACAAACGATGAGGGCATGCGCCCAAGCCATACGCTGTTGTCGACCCAAGCGGAAATACGATCCCGAATCCGCCAGCGAACAAACACCCAGCGATGAGTCAGCCACTCAGCAGACACCACCACCAGTAGTCCCCAAACGCACGCTCCCCGCTCAGTGAGCCTCCAATGGAAAATGCTATGAAGGGACAGGAAAACCGGGAAAAACACCACTAGACACACACAGAGTATACATTCACACTACGATATACATTTATTAAAAAAAAAAAAAATATACATATTCTTCAACTATACAACATAAAACTAATCTACAGGAAGACTGGGGCCGGACGTCTGTCCCTACCTCCCCCCTCCCCAGCCGGCGGTCATTCTGTAACAGAAAAACAAAGGAGTATTAGAAGGGGAAACATCAGAATGAAAAACATGTAAAGACATACGCTTAGAATTTGACGCTTACCATTAGTACCACCAGCTGTTCACATCTACAGTGAACGGAGATCGCCGAACAGGCGCCCGAAGGAAAAAATGTCCTCCCCGCCCCAGTCCTCCTCCTCGAACATCCGCCACCCGGAGAGCGCACCTCTCGCGTCTTGGCGCGCCCTCCGCTTAGCGACCATATCCGCCACCCTGATGTATCCAACCAACTAAAAAAAAAGGGGAGATCCAAATTATACACACCACAAGCGCGCCCCTAAAACACCAGCACACAGGCAACACCAGACGATCCTACTTACCGAAATTGTAACTACCGCGATGCCCATCCTAGCTCCCTTTTATTTTTCTCTGACACGGTCTTTATACTTCGGATGGCAGAACAAGAGTGAAGCTCAGGTCCACATCCAACCGTTAGCATAAAGTTAGAAAAGTGGGGATCTTCGATATCATCAGCAAAATCACAGTCACATCATGCACCATATCACTTACCTCGAAGCACACACAAACCAAAATTGTAATGTAAACTACACTCGCGAACACCACCACGCAAATTCTCGGAAACTCTGTAACACCATTGAAAACGGGGAAATTACAATTAATTTTTCCCGAAGATGAAGAACGCATGCCGATTCGCGAGGATCGGACATAGGAAATTGTTACGCCCACCACACCCACCTCAGACCCTGACACGCCTCAAGAAGACGTCACTCTCTACGCTCCCCAACGAAGAAGGATGTCCACCTCCAAATTCACCCGGAGGGACGAGAGGAAGCATCACCAAAAAGGGCGATGTT